TAGTTGTTTCCAAAATATGTCAACTTTTAATAGTTTATAGTAATAAGTTGAGTAATATCAATATTAATTTTCTAAAAGCCGAAATAGCTTTATTATACAATTTCGCTAATTAGGTATAAAAGAAAGTAGWTCCATAGATCATATTTTGTATAAACTGCAGGAGTTTWAAATTTATTTAAGATAATTGACTCGTACACTATTGGTCATGCAACTATGGCAGTACCTACTTACAAGGATTTTCATCTCAACATCTTTTGTTTTAAAAATAATAACTCGTAATTAWTCATGTAACTGTTTATGTTTTGTAACTACTGTTTCATTTTGATTTACCAAATATTATATAATAGATATAGTAGTCAGTGTAATCAGTAGTAGGTGCAWAATAACAATACAYTAGGCAAATTGTATATTTTGGWTTTAACCTAATRAAATTTTWGAACTAATTCAAATATTTTATATTTTATTATACAATTTTTCTATAGTCATATTATATAGATACTTAATAGACATGTCAGTTATTAATGTTATTATTAATATCTTATAATCACTTGGTCTATACGTATTATTATTATTAATACTACCTACACCATACTTCAAGTATTAAAGTAAATATATCTTTTGAAATTTAAAAATCAGAGGGGGGAGAGAAAAATCAATTTTATTAAGAAGAATAATTACATTTAAATGTAATAGCTAGTAAGTTACTTTGTGTATATTTTTATCATATTGCATTTTAATTTTTATTTAAAGTCAAAACTTTTGTATTTATAATAGTTTATATAATGATAATATGATACATAATATTCAATATATAACTTATAATAAATATGATCAAAAGATAATATTTTATACGAATCGTTCATTTTTTACCAATAACATTTAAAAATCAAAACTAAAGTAATATTTACTTTATCTATTATTTATAACTTAAAAAAAAAGCGCGTATACTATTTTTAATTTTAAATATGTTCAAAAAATATTAATACATTTTTACGTAATAAGAGTAGACAAAATAGGAAAAAACCCGAAGTATTAAAACATGCAAGATATCAACCTAATCATTTTGTAATAATAATAAATGAAGAATGGAAATATTTAATCTATAACAGAGGTAAAATCATTTAAAATTCAAAAATTCAAACATTCTAATTGACTATCAACTTGTGATACAATAATATTATGTCTATAAGGTTTCATATTTCAACCCAGCAACCTATATATTGACTCGATTAAATTTTGATTTCTTTTAAAAAGTAAACCTTCTAAATAAAATATAAAATAATTATTATTTTAAGATATAATTTACTGTTATCAAATATGAAGTACAATTTTCGTAATGTTTATAAAAATAATAATAATATAGTTATCTATATTTTATATGTGTAARTACCTAGTTCTTTAAGATGAATACAATTTTAATTCAAAATTTCAATATTCTCAATGCTATCTGCAGTTATCGTATAGATATATTATAAATATTAATATTGAATATTTTATTATACCTTCTATATTTATTAACTAGGGACTGCCAAATCTAATTTGATAGAGAATACCGAGTTACCTACGTGATAAAATAAAATAATTRTGAACAAAATTATATGATAAGAATAAGACATATTATATAAATGATAAACAGACGGATAGAAAAATTTAAACATATATATATATATAACATAACTATTTCGGCGGTTATAGGGTAATTTAAATTCATGTGAAATGAAATTATTCATTGGTACCTGTTTTAAATAGGTAGGAAAATATGACTTGATGATTCGTTTTTAATGACGRCGAGTCGTGGTGTTAGAATAATATTTAAATCGTATGCAGCATGTACTGAAGTACGCAAGTGGCTAAGTGATGTTGATCAAAATTACGTCATGGGTCGCCATGGCCCACGATTGATCTGAAATTCAATGCTTGTTATAGTTTGGGTTTTCGAAATATCTTCGTGACACTCTATGCATCTTTCATATATAGGACATAAATATAATGATATTGTAGTCGTACATGTAATATCTGAAACGTGTCGTACTCAGTCGTGTTATCGAATAGTTCACGTATTATAGTCCTCACCTCACAAAGACAAGCTAATTACTCATTGTTTTACAGTATTAAATATCGAATCATTATACTGTGATATACACGAGGCAAGTGGCTTTATTATTTTGGTTTTTTGTTTATTAAGACTGTGTTGTTTCGATTATTTCTATCGCATAATAGTGTTTGTAAAATCATATGAACCATATTGTCTTGTAACATTTCGTTCAGTGTTCATATTATATAATGTATTGTTATCGCTGAATTTGTTTATAGGGTCTAAAATGATTGTTCTGCAAGTAGAAGTAATGAAATCTCTGGTAGAGACTAAATCAATAAAAATTAAAAATACGAATAAATACGAATCGACTAAAATCTTCAAGAAAACTGAAAAACAGTTAATTAGTGTTTAATTTTCACTACAATGAATGCGTTGTAAATTGTAATGTTACAATTTAAATGTGTCAATTATTTAGTAATAATATAACCTTAAATGTAACAAGATAATTCAATATAACTGGAAGGAGAGATAAAAAAAATACTTTCCATCTTTTTCAGTTTTCCTTAACTCGTAATAATCTATAATCTATATAAAAAAAACAAGACATTCGCATATAAAGTGTAAGTTTTCTTACTTGTCTTTAAAATATGCTTATTTAATTAAGAATGACATATTGGCCATTTTAATAAAAAATCATAACATTCTTATATGAATATTTATAAATCATACGTTGCTCCAAGTCTGTTTTTAAATCATAAATTATTTTAACCATGTTTTTTTTTCATCATATTTTTGTATGATCAGGTACAAAGTGTTTAAAATGTATTAACTATAATTTCCTTCACAAATATTTTTTAACCAATATTATTACCGCACACTTTGTACAACCAAAATGTTCGTACCCGTCGGAGTGCTGCAAAGCATGAAATATTCAATATTCAAGTAATTAAATGGCTGAAAATCTTGTTCCTCGAATATTTCAACGCGCCCGGGGCAAATAACCCTCCTGCAGCACGCCCATATAGAAGCTATAAGTCATGAGCYGCGTTATCAAACAATGATGCACGTTCAATRGGCTTAATTAATTTATAGACAGTGTTTGGTATTTCGATTTGCCATTGATTCGTCACGCTCAGTTAAAAAAGTGGTGCATTATTGTAGTGTAGTACGTCGCAGTCGTCTGTTTACAATTACAAACGGTCTTGTTGGATAACACACAAGCGCAAATTAACACTATGGGTAATATAATATTATTAAAATAGGTGTCGAGGCGTCGAATCTATTGTCTGAAAAACACAATTATTTGCAACACATCAATACACATTCTAATAATAAAAGTAATTGCAACGATTTAATAAGATATACCTAATATAAAAGTATATAACATTTTAGTTTATCACAATTTGCGGTAATGATTAGTATAATAATATACATATAATACCTAATAATCACAATACTAATTAAGGTTTACTTTCAGTTTTTTTTTTTTTTTTAATTCTGCAATATGTTACAAAGATAATATATTCTGTGATTAAATCCTAACACATCTATTATGTAGCCGTACAATAATAAATACATCATCGATGCGTAATGTGCGTACGCGCCTATAACAATATTATGACGACGTGGTCGTTGGTCGTGCGCGGTGGTTACTTTCACTGCTTRTACACGACTGGGCTGGGAGTGGGGAGGGGGATATACGGTGCTGCGACAGCCAAAGGGAAGAGGAAATGATCGTGGACGGACACCGCATCGCCACAGCCAACCGATAAACTCGCGTTCAAACGTCGGCGTGCGTCCACTCAAAAACGGTCAGCCGGTTCTTGCCGGCTCTTGTTCGGTACACCGCAGATTTTTTGATTACATTCATATCGGTCTCGGTATTTTTCGTCTTTAGAAATTTAATTTTTTTTTTAAATTGATTTTTCACTCTTCGAGCGATCGAGATTTCCGTCAAAGTGGCTCGAAATCTATATTATTGGATTTTAGCAGTTTTGAATTTTTTTTCTCGTCTGTTTCATCTACTGCAGTGCGCCACATAGTCAGTAAATCATCATCATACTCGTAATATAATAAACCGTCCGACGACAAACCAAGTGTGTAACAGTATATAGGTAGCTGTTCGCTACCGCAACAGGACGTCCGCAGCAGGTAAATCATCAATATAACATATGTTAAGTTATTATATATATCTCAATTCATATGCTTTACACTCGGATACGTACACATGTAATTGTACTATATACGTGTGTATATGAGTGTGTGTGTTGTGTGTGTGTGTTTATACATATATAATATACCATATATCTATCATATACATATTGTATTGGTATCGAGTGACTTTTTATTGTACGCCTATCTGATTTTTATTTACGACTGTTTGGACATAGTATACGTGTTTGTCGGTCCAAGTGAGAGATTTATCAATCGATTTATCTTACCCATCTCACGCGTTTCGAATGCGAAGACGATTAGATACACCACACCGGGTTGGTCGTTGAGAAAATAATATAATATTGTGTCTACCACCGCCGCCTGCAACAACGCATTCCACTAACCTATAGGCTATATTATTACAGCATAATATTGTGATACTATAAAAGTATAATATTAATAATAATATGTAATATGCTTTACCTTCCGGTCGTAGTATTACTATACCTACTCTACGGCGGGCTTAATGCAACGTTCGACGATAATATAAGATACATATAATGTTATAGGTGTATCATATTGAAATGTAAGAACGAAAGTGGAATATTAACGACCGCAACCGGTTTACATGGTGTTGCACGTGTTCGTGCGATATCACGATGATTTCAAATAACGTAGGTTTTGGCGTCATCGGAGTAACTGACTTCCGGTTACCATCGCAGTTTTCTTCTTTTAGATTAGGTGTTTTCGATAGTTGTGCTAAAACATGTATTAGTTGCGTAATCGAATTATCTTGGTGGATTGAACATTGTTTGCGAATAAGCATTCTGCAATCGTCAGGCATTAACGACGAAATGTCATTTAGGCACGTCATTCATTTCATCCGGTATAACAAGAATTATTATAAAATACATATTTTCGTTTCGATAACTAATTATTATCATTGTTTAAGAAAAATATCGCGTGTACGTCACTGATACTACGCAACGAGACGGTCGCAAAGACATCGTGGTGTAGCAATAGCTACAGTAAAGTTATGTCGTCAGTTAGTTCATATGTATCTAAACGCTGTAACTGGTAAAGACAAAATACCAAGTTGTATAAGGCTTTCACCAATAATAATCGGGTTATCATTAAATATTTGCCGTTCGTGCGTAACTCCAGTCATGTCATATTGTCACGTACGCCAATAAATTGACTTCAATGGTGTTAACCATTTGAACTTGTGACCATGAAATATATACATCACCATAAGAACTTAATTACATCTGCAATATTGCTCTAGAACACAATCAATCGGGAGCTTATCGTACGTTAAACAAGCAAGTTCAAAAGTTTTCTGGTTTTTCAACATATTATATACTAATTTAAGTACACTATGTAATATAATTACATGTTCATGTAACTGTTCATAAGTAATAATATTGAAAAAAAATTAAATACTTATCTKTATACTAAATAACTATAACAAGTATCTGGTATCTAATTATACCTTATGATAATGACTACGATAAATTAATGTGAATATTATGTCACTTTTTTTTTTTAGTTAATTGAAAAGTGTTATGTATGCTTTGTGCTTTGGGGGAAATGAGAGAGTGGCCTTGGCCTTACTAAAGGAGAGGGAACGTTTATGTCATAAAATGACACCATTTTGTGTCCACGTACATTGCAAAATAGTGTAAAAATAAAACAGTCACGAGCATGTGGTTAACTATTTTTTTTTCATTCTTATTTAACAAATAATTACATTTTTTAAATGTACTAAAAAATATTTCAGTTATGCCTGGCGGACTTGTATATTCATATATATATAATACTAGAAATACTAGGTTCCTGTATAAATTTAATTGTTATGAAATAAATCTGAACATATGAGGATAATGAATTATTAACTGAAATTTAATCAATATAGCAATTCATATTATTTTTAATATACATTTATGTATAAATTCTTTCTATCAAAAAAATGAAAATCTCATAATTTACGTAAATTTAATATTGAAAAAAAAATAAATAGGTACCTGTATAAATATAACYGCCTATTGAGCTTAAAACATTATATGATTACGTAGGTACGTAATATTTTAAAAACCACATTATGCATGACAGGTTATAGCTCATAATAATAATTACATTTTGATAGTGGATACCTATGGCACTATGTTAAAAGGCTGAGTATGTTACACTATTATTAAACACGTCATGCATAATGAAAACGCGATGATTTTCGTCGTATAATTAATACATCTGTCATTCACGAACTCTAAGTACGCATATAATATATATATATTTGAAATAATAAAAATTCCATTACATAGTGTCACCGACTTATCAGTCGTGACTTGTCACTGTTCACACGATTATATATATATATTTATATATCAGTTCAAGTTCAATTGTATAATATTATCATTAAATTTAGTAAATATTAATAAAAACTGAAAGTATTGACCATGAACTCTGTATAAGCTACTACTTTAAGTGAATATTGTTTCATAAATCGTGTCATTCAGTAAATTTCTCTTTCATTATAATATAATGCATCTAGATAAAAGTGTTAATAATTAATTACTTATCGTTACAGAGCTTTTCAATAGCCAATTTGATTTGTCTTTGGGCGCAGTCATTATTATCATCCAATATTATGACAATTTAGTCGTACCAATGTCTTGGGTAGGTAATTATTAATAATATTCACTTGCCGAGAGGTATGCTCCCGATAGTAGTATAATCAAGAAATCCGAATAATCAACCTGTTATTTTTTTGACCCAACCAAAACGTTTTGTAAAAACCAGACTACACTTAAAATTATTATTCCGATCGTATCATGCACCGGAACTGCACTATAGAATCTTCTAGTTGAATTCCTACATTCCAACACTTTTTTTTTTTTGATAATCTAGACCCAYATATCGTTACATGAATGTTGTAGAAATATTATCTTGTCTATACATCGTCTATACACGGCACGCAGTAAAGGAAATACTAAATTTGAGAACCACTGTTAATAGTAAATTTTCAATCCTCGTTCTTTCGTCGAATACTGAAGGTATTCACAATATACACGTTGCAGTTGTATGCTAAGAGTATATATCACATTTTGCTAATAGTTCCTTCTAAACAATATTGTTTGTAAAAATATGAAGTTACTTAAATTGTCTATATTTTATTAAAATTGTCAWATAAATGATATAAATTGGATTAGTGGAAATAGTTTTATGAAGTATAATTATTGATAGCAAAGTAAGTTTTAATAACTAATATTTTTAAAATTATAAATTTATATAAAATAAATTTAATTATTCTTTATTTCAGGTTATTTAAGTTATATAATTAATTGAATGCAAATAGACAATAGTAGATATATCTTGATATAACTAGAAATTTAAGATAAGCAACATTAATATTAATGTTAATTMTGCTCTTCGGTCCAGAACTCCAGAACATATGAATTTACACACCATAATGTTAAGAGAGTATTTAGATTAAATATCACCTTACCTATTATTACGCAACTAAAAAGAAGAACTTCTTCTGAGATTTTACAACTTTCATATTTTTTATGTAAATAATTAAATTTAGAGGTCTTGAAAAACATCTGCCGATTTAATTATCAATTATAAATTATAGACAACTAATATATAATTACATATTATAACATGTATTTTACTAAGGGTTGTTGGTGTTGGTTTTTCCAACTTTTCGAAATTCTATGAAATTTGAAAATTTGAAAATTATATTTTATATTTTAGTTGCTTCCTTAATCCTAATACTTTTCCGCTAATCTACTGCCCGGTACCTATTTAGAGAGGGTTTTTGTTATTATTCAAATGCATATTTTAGCACCTAAAATAATAATTTTGAAAATCTGTCTTTGATCAGTCTTTATAGAAAAAAATAAAAGAATGAAATTCGCCTATTCTACAGGGCTTGATAGTTTTTCCTGTAAAAAATGTTTTTGAAMAAAAACGCACTGGTTCGTGCGCTCATAAAATGTTCTATGGAACGTAAATAATAAATAGTTTTAATCGTATTTTAATTGACATTCATTTTCGACAATTATAATTACCTATATATCTTCCACAACATACCAAMCATACTACTCTACATTGGATATCATWATATAGTTTAATTGAAGGTATTTATTGTGCATAAAGTACCTATAATTGTTAAAGTAAATTAGCACATACTTAACTCTGTATTATATTATATTATGGATGTGTATTATGCTGTATTTAATAGTTTATAATATTTGAAATTCTTAATTCTTATTATTGTTTGTTTTCAGGTTTATTTGTTATATTTATTACGAATAGAATGTGACACCTAGATTTAAAATGGTGCACGCAGGCACAGTGCTCATAAGTGCCATTAAGTTGGCAACCAAGGTGGCCGGAGGTGGAAAGCTACTATTTTTGCCTACGTTCTTGGCTGCTTTAGCCTATTACAATTATGACCTGTACGACCCAGAGAATCGTCTAGTGAACGAGAAGAACCTGAGATCCGAGTATGATTTCATAGTGGTGGGTGGTGGTTCGGCGGGTGCTGTGGTCGCCAACCGTCTGTCCGCAAACCCGGAATGGAACGTATTGTTGCTGGAGGCTGGTGGACACGAGTCCGAGATAACAGACGTTCCCGCTATATCATTGTACTTACATGGAAGCAAATACGATTGGAAGTACAAGACACAGCCGGACAGCTCGGCGTGTCAAGCGATGAAAGACAATCGGTGCTGTTGGACTCGGGGTAAGGTGATCGGCGGTTCCAGCGTGCTGAACACCATGCTGTACGTGCGGGGCAACAAGCGAGACTATGACAACTGGGAGAGAATGGGAAATCCTGGTTGGGGATTCGAGGACGTGCTCCCATACTTCAAAAAATCGCAGGACCAACGAAATCCTTACCTGGCCAAGAATACCAGATACCACGCTACCGGYGGATATCTGACTGTCCAAGACTCACCGTGGAACACGCCTCTGGGTAAATCATAATCTCAGACTATTCTCTGTCGAGCGAGAGAACACGGCTTGACGAAAACGTTTTTCTGAACATTCTCACGCGTCACCTTATAGTGTAGTGGAACCGGTTGCATGGCATCRAGAGAAGGAGATGCGCAGAATCGGCGTATTCTCTCGCTAGACAGAGTAMACATACGTATAATAAGTTTTGACATTACTCGTTGTATGTATACAAATATAACATTGTGACGTGTGTTGAAACGTACACTCCAGTTACTTGGTAAAACAGTGTTGGTATTCGTTTGGCAGGCAGGCAGATGAATGCATGGCAATTTTATATTTACGTGAACGATTGAGAAATTGGAAAAGTGGGCGGGTTTTTTTCTTCTTAATAATATTCCATACCACAATACTCGTCCTTGGATCAGATGCTTCACCATTTTAAACGAGACTCTCTTATGACCGAATACAGCGTAAATATGTCATATTATTGTATCGGTAATATTGGTTACACRGCCAATGACAAACCTAATAGTGCAACGACACGTGTGTAGCATTAACGGTTTACTTGTATATTGTGTTAACTACAATTAATTAACTAAACATGATAATTAATAAAAGTTGATACAATTTAACTTGTTATGTTGGTATTAAGAACAATAAAAGACACAATAAACTATTGTAAAATAAAAAAACACTACCCAGTAACTATACTAGCTGTAGGCATGGCTTATATCATGACTAATTATTTTTTACTACCAGCAAAAAGSTAATTTTATTGTTTGAATTGATTATTCAATAATTTCTTTGTGAAATAAGCTCTTATATTTTAAGTAACAACCTCAAAAAAGTTAGTTAATTTTTAAATTTTTAAATTTCTAAATGGTTATTATTGTTCATCAAAATTTGTTATCTTTCGTTTACGAATAAATCACATATAATATTTTCTACTTGGATTCAAAATTGTTTTAAATTAATAATAACATGCGATTATTTTTTGCTAAAAATAATATATGCAAATAAAAATTGAATTATCATTAGAATTTAACATTCGATATGTAATACCGTTGTGATTTAATATATATATATATATAAAAAAAAAACAGAAATCGATATTAGAATGTTATTGGCAGGGGTTATTTAATCAAATGACTTGCATTTCAAACCACTTTATCAGATCTACCTTGCAGTCTGATACAATTATTATGTATCTGGATTGTTTTGAACGTCATTTCGTGAATTCGCGTAACTGTTGTTTGCACTCCCCAAATGATATTATGAAGACTTGCAGCCATAATATTKTGGAGACTTCAGTARTACTGCTGACAGTATAAATGCACCTATAATGTACGGTGAATAATAACGCCGTGCTAAGATTATGGGGAAGTGATGGAGAGGGCTCCACAAATGTATTATTGAGTTTTCTTTGATGGTTTTGGTAGAACAATTTGAATGCACTCGTAGATTGTCAAATCTTAGCTTCCGTAGAAATCGTATCAAACTGTTATCCGTGCAGTTAAAACGTTGTCACCAAATACATAATTACCTTGATGATAATGCTTTACTGCTTTACTGATTTCTAAGTCTAATAATTGGTTTTGCATCTCAATGCAGGCATCGCTTTCTTGCAAGCCGGCGAAGAAATGGGTTACGAGATACGCGACACCAATAGTGACATTCAAACYGGGTACGGGCTGTACCAGTTCACGATGCGCCGGGGTTACCGATGTAGTTCGTCGAAGGCGTTTTTGCAACCAGTGAGGCTGCGGAGGAACCTACACGTGGCCTTGTGGTCACACGTGACCAAAGTTCTCATCGACCCGGACAGCAAACGAGCTTATGGTGTGGAGTTTGAACGGGACGGACGAAAGCGGGTTGCGCTAGCCAAAAGAGAAGTCGTGCTGTCCGCGGGTGCCATCAACAGTCCTCAATTGCTTATGCTTTCAGGTGAGGATTCATGGTTATATCATAATTTTATCATATTATAATATCATCTGCCATTTCATTATCATGACGTAATACTTTGAAAGAAATACTGCAATTTTAAGTGTATCTAAAATAATATGTAAGCAAATAACAGGATTATAATTATTATAAAAGAAAAATTAAAAATATTGTAAAAAGATATTTGACTATCTAAATCAAATCGAAAAACACATTTTAATTAGTTACACATTACACTACAAAATGTAATTTTACTTAATACACATTTACACATCATATCAGTAAAATACTTCTTTACATATTTTTATGTGAAGAATATCCATTAAAAATGTTGTATGAAATTTCTGCCACGTTAAGACAATTTTTTATATCATCGATTAGATAATATAAATATAGGTATTGCATAAAATTAAAATATATTAAAATAATGTTTCACACAAAATTTAAATGACCATAACATTGAACGTAAAAGTTAAAATATTTTAATCGTTAATAAATTATAAAATCTTTCGGAAATGTAAAATTATATAAAAAATAAAATAATGAAAATATTTCAATTCTTATTAACATTAAACATTTGGCTTTATGTCTTTACTCATTTTTGAAATTGAGTAACTTTGCGTGTGTGTTGCAAGATGCATATATAATAATATTATAGTAATAATATTATTATGTGGTTGGTTTTTTTTTTTTGTGTCTACGTGAGTAGATATGCGTACGCAAGCAAGGGGATTCACGTATAGACTTAACCACGCAGTGAAAGCAACCGTTTTGTAATCCGGCTTCTGATGACGATTCGCTCACARACCGTATATRCAATTAAAATGATTATGCCACTAGATTTTTTTTAACATTCCAGGCGTTGGACCGGAAGAACACCTAAGAAGTATCAATATACCTGTAATTCATCATTCGCCGGGCGTTGGTGAAAACCTTATGGACCATGTGGCTGTTGGCGGTCTGGTCTTTCCCATTGACTATCCAGTTAGCTTGGTCATGAATCGTGTAGTCAATATACCGGCAGCATTGAGGTGAAATAAAAATATTTTTTGAATCTAGAAGGGGAAATTATGAGTAAGACACTGTTGTTGAGTATGCGATCCCCTGAAACACATCGTAATACCAATTTAAAAATTAATCTCACTTTTAAAAACAATTATATAGGCTACACTATATAAATTATAATGTAATAATATAATTAATGAGAGGCACGTCTAATGATGACGTAAGTTTTGAGTTTACAACTATTATGTTATATGAATCCATTTAATATAAAAAATATAAGTAGGTCCTTTTTTATTTTTTATTAAATAAAGTGTTTCTGACATACAAGGTCATCGRACTTWTTSATATAATAAASAATTTTTAACATCATKAAGTTGTTAAKCGTAAATTAATTACAATATATACAGTAAATTACAGTAAATTACAAAGATGAATAAATAAATAATAAAATATGACATCATAATAATTAGTTAATCTAAGTGTATTTTTTTTTTTTGTAAATCTTATTGGTGTTGAGAAAGGGCATCATGAGGACGTCCGCGCTTGAGACGCCGGAGRGTAGGCTTATCGCTGAGTTTGAAATATTTTGCACTTTTGGCGTTGTTTAGTTGGCTAAAACAATTTATTGAGAGATACTGTATGTAGGATTTAACCATCGGGAGTCTGAATTCTGTATGAAGTACTTAGTTTCTGACAAACCACGGCACGTTGGATGTTATTTGTAGAATCTTGGACTGGAAGACTTGAATTTTATTTATGTGAGTTTTGGCACAGTTACCCCAGATGGGAGCAGCATAGAGTATTAATGATCGTAGAATTAAGTAGGTCCTAATACTTAATAGAGGTTATAGAATTTATGTAGGTGATGGGAACAGTTCATATGCATAAGGTTACCAGATCATATTTTCCGATCCCGGGACATTTTGAATGGATAAATTATATATTTATAATTTTATAAATGATAAATAATTATAAAATAATATTAACTTTTTTTGTTTATATATATATACAGTGAAAACTCTCTACAATGAACTTGAAGGGACGATGTGATTTCTTTCGTTATTGAGAGTTTTCGTAATAGAGATTAATTAATAGGTTTTAAATCAAACMAACCATTATAAGTTAACTTAATGTTATTTACGTAATATAGAGTTTTTCGTTGTAACGAGTTTCGTTATAAAGAGTTTTCACTGTATATTAATAGGCTCTAAAGTAGATAATATTATTACCTTAGTGATGTAGCAGTTTTAATAAAAACCATTAAGTTTATGATTCCCGCGGTAATTGACCATACAAAGTTTAAAAATAAGTTTTTAAAATAAAATACCTATGATGATCGCACGTATAATCTTGAATTTTGTAATGTGTAGGTCGATAATGTTTTCTCATAATTGAAAATCGGTATGTTATCGAGTAAAATTTTTAAACCTGGACAAATCGCTGTCCCAAAACACTTTCTCGGGACATCAGGACACTTGGTTAAAAAACAGTAGTGTACTGGCAAAACTGAGACGTATGGCAAGTGGCAACCCTAAACATGCACCACCACGATTTACTGAAAACTCGTCATAGCCCATAAGTGTAATATTAAGGTTTACATTTTTGAAATCAATATTGTAAATCTTACATAATACATTTTTTTCTAAATTTAATAACTATTTAAACCTAGTATATTATAATTATGCATAAAAAGACTAAATATAAGTAAATTGCATTTATAGATTCTTTGAGACTCATAGGTTCTTWGTATTACATTCCCAAAGCTTTTATTTACCTTTTKACCTTTCGTATTTTTATAAAAAAATTTAAAATATAACGTATATTAAAATTTCAATCTGAAAGTTTAATTTCTAATAGACCTTATAGGCCATCCTTATTATAAAATCATAAAAACCTAAAAAATTACGAAAATAGCAGTAAAACACATACTATATCATTAAATTGTACAAACTCAACGAGTTTTTAAATTATAATAATATGTCTTCTAGCACGTATAGATATTGTAATTACAATTATATAATGTTTCGTTAATATTGCGTATTCAAAAAGTACACTGTACACAYAAATTGTATAACCAATAAACCCAAAATATATTTGTTTTTTTCAACTACTATTTCTTACAGTTTTAACCTACATAWCATTTTTGTCAAATTCTAAATATAGGTAGCAAAAACTCGGCTTTTTAATGTATCRTGTATGTTTTAATATTAACATTATTATAATTCTTCCGTATAGGTATGCCGTGCTGGGCGAAGGACCTCTAACGTCGTCCATAGGATTAGAGACGGTGGCGTTTATCACGACCAAATACGGTAATCAGTCGGACGATTGGCCAGACATCGAGTTCATGCTGACGTCCACGTCGACCAACTCGGACGGAGGAACGGCAGCCCGAAAGGCGCACTGTCTGCGGGACGATTTCTACAACGAGCTGCTTGGAGACCTCAACAACAAGGACGTGTTCGGCGTGTTTCCGATGCTGTTGAGACCAAAGAGCAGGGGTCGCATACTGCTCAGGAATAACAACCCYCATCARTACCCGCTTTTATACCACAATTATTTCTCACACCCAGACGATTTGCGAGTGCTGCGCGAGGGCGTCAAGGCAGCGGTGGCGGTGGGTGAGACGACTGCCATGAAAAGATTCGGCGCCCGATTCCACGCCAGGCCAGTGCCCGGTTGCAAGACCCTTGAGCTTTTCACCGATGAGTATTGGGAGTGCGTGATACGTCAGTACACCATGACCATATACCACATGTCGGGTAAGTRCTCGCCAGTCGATCGGTGTCACAATCTATAAGTTTTTTTTTACCACGAGAAATGTCATACTATGAGTTTACRGACGATATATTTATTTTTATACATTATGCAGTTTATATGTACACGTCGTTATATTATTTTAACAGTATGWTATTTAAACAGAAACTATATAACARACTAAAACGAATACTTTAGTATTTGATTTCAATTACAAATACTTTGAAAACGTATTTACAATATGTATTTGAGTACTTAAAAAGTATTTAAATACTTTTATTTAAATACTCAAGTATTTTACAATAATGCATATAGGATATAAGTATTCATAAGTCTAAGAATTTTGATCTTAAATCCAGTATTTTCAATTTTGCATTTTGAAAAGCGAAAAATTCCAAAATGAATACTTTTTTGGTACAGTTTTAACATTGGTTACAGAAAATAAAATAGACATTATAATTGTTTATAATTTTAGACTTATATAGTATTATATTTGATTAACTCACCAAAAAAATACATTTTTTTAAAATCTGAGTAACTTATATTTAATGGAGTTTAACAAGGGGTAAGTGTTAAATCTGCTATCATTTAATTTATCACCGGCATCTTTGAATAAGATATTAAGCTAGTTAAAGATAAAATAAATTAAGCACAAGTATTACACAGAAAACACATGCTACATCTTTCATCAAATCATTTTTTTTTAATTACAAAAAACAATATGTAAGATTGCTTTATATTTTAAATAATTGTTCGGTACCCATAATCTAAGTTCGCGGTAGTCTGGTTGGGAATCTATAGGTAAATCAACTAAATCATAATATGTTTTTGCTCAACACATGGATTCATATAGTATATTCTTCATACAATAAATAATATAATCGATTGAATATCATACTAATATAATGTATTCATGTTTATCGTCATATATTCGTTTTTCAGGTACATCCAAAATGGGACCGCCTACTGATCCTTTAGCAGTTGTCGATCCCAAGCTCAGAGTGTATGGAATTCAAGGCTTGAGAGTGATTGACGCCAGCATTATGCCTCAGATCACTAACGGTAACATAAATGCCCCGACAATAATGATTGGTGAGAAAGGTTCTGACATGATAATCAATTATTGGCATGGTATTGACGCGAAAAGAAGAAGACGAAGAAGTGCCAATATTACCATTAGTTAGTCAATATTACCATTTGTTGCCTATTAGGTTAAGCCCTTATCGATCATCTCAAAACTTATGTAAAGTTGTGTTGCTCAATTTTTATAAAAATGTATAGGTATGTAATTATTATAAGATCAAACGACTATTATGATTATACTATTT